ATTATAAAGTGAGCCCATGGAGGGATAGAGAACAGAAGGTCCTCTACAGGGACACTGTTTGATTTAGGGATGTTGGATGGACACTGGAATGTAAGTCTCTTATTTACAGAGACTGTCAGGGTGCATTTTAGCAGATCTTAAGCCACCGAAGTTGTTTATGGCTAGCTGGCAAGTGTCCTCATGGCATTTTATCTCAGTAAGGGAAACTTAACAATGGTTAGATCCAGCCACCAAAAAAAATGCAGATGATGAATTGAGCAAGTCCACTTTGTGACTAGAGGAAGATGGATGGAGATACCGTCCAGACCTTAGAGAAGCTTACATCAGGTCACGGTTGCTTCTCCCCAGAAGCACCCCACAGTCAGAGAGCATCCCACAGTCGGAGAGCACCCCACAGTCAGAAAGCCACGAGTAACTTCAACACAAGTCCTCAACTTCTGACAACTTTGTCAAAATTCTTTCATGTGCAAAGGGGGGAAACAGACTCTTTTGAGTCCTTGTGTCCTGGTTGACTGTGACTGTCAGTTTGACATAGCCTAGAGTCATCAGAGAGGAGAAGCCTCGCTGTTCTCACTGTTAATAGATATAGGAGGCCCCGCCCACTGTGGGTGGCACTGTCTCTAGGAAGGAGTCCTGAACTGTATAAGAAAGCTGGCTAAGTATAAGCTAGCCTTCAAGCCAGCCCAGCACCCAGCATCCTCCAGGGTTCCTTCCTGATGGGCTTCTTGGCGATGACGTGAGCTCCTTATTTGGAGGTAATGCCTCATGGAACAGCAAACAGTCCCACCTTCAAGTTCCTGCCTTGACTTCCTTTAATGATGGGTTATGACCTGGACCTAAACCAATAGAAACCTTTCCCCCTCCTGTGATGGGCTGTACCCTCCAACTATGAGCCCAAATCAACCTTTCCTCACTTCCCTTACTGGCACAGCAGTGGTGTAACTGGTAAAGGGCCCCTGGGTCTTGTCTCTTTTACCTGACTTTATCTCCTTCTGCCTAGACGCTGAGGGGTGCTGGCACCATGCTCTTACCAGCCTCCAGAACCAAGAGCTGGAGTTGCACCCTTCTTCATAACTCACTGAGTCTCAGGTATTTAATTATAGCAACAACAACAAAATGGACTGAGACAGTGCCCAACACATCAGGCATTCAAGAAATGAGTGAGTGGATGGAGTGAGTGCTGAATAAAGAACCCATCCAAACGACACACTGGACCACTAAGGCGGCCTAGGACCCATACGGAACACTTCCGGGAAATGCCTCTTCAAATATTTCATTCTAGTAGCACATGGTTTGGACCAAATGAAGCAAAGAAGAGTCTGAGTGGCTAAATGTTGCTAAAGAGGCTGTAAAAGGCAGAAAGTCTTGGGAAGGTACTGCCTGCTGCCAGGATGTCTGGAGGAGAAAAATAGCGTGTTTATCTTTTAAGAGATTTTAAAAAATATATTAGACCATTATAAACAGTAACTCAATTAAGTAAATTGTTTAGCTGAATTTTTCATTCTAAATACAAATGAGATGCATTATGTGGAAAATAGCTTGGGGGAGGCCCTCGGGAGGGTGGACATCGGTCTCAAGGGCCGGTGACTGATGACCACAGTAAAAGGCATGCTGTTTGCACCACTTTCTTAGATCATTTTTCCCCTCAATCCATAAGCCTTGCTTGTGACTGAAATGAGAGGTGGTTTGCAGACAGAAAGAAGAACTCGAGAACCAGGGAGTTCTTGATCCCAGGGCTCACCAATTTGATAAATGCCCAACTTAGCCCACTTACAGGAACCAGCTATTTATTTCACAAATGCAGCAAGTTCACATTTTAGATGCCTGGGGTCCTTACAGGGACCACTTTGTCTGAGAAGATGGTGAGGACAGGAAGGGCTGAGAGAAAGGAGGAGAAAGTACAGGCATGGAGTTCAGCAAGAATGGTATGGGGGAAAACAGGGACTAGGAAGGCATAGGGCCAAGAACGTACAAGCTGTGTGCTGGGAGATGGCTCAGTGGGTGCTGTGCTTTGGGTGTAAAACATTCCCTGTTGGTGTAGGTGTTGGAACATTTGCTGATGGTGAGGTCTGGGAGGCCTGTGGGACCTTTAGGTGGTAGGGCCTTGCTGGAGGCCATAAGTCACGGGGTGGGGGGGTGGTTTATAGGCGGTTATGCCTCTCCCTGCTTGCAGTTCTCTTTCTATTTCCTGTGTAAGGATGGAAATGTGATCAACCAACTCCCTGCTCCCACAGCCATCCCTTCCTAGCCTGCTATCATATCTTCCCCACCGACATGGACTCTATTCCTCTCAACTGTAATTCAAAATAACCACTTTACCCTTTAAGTCATTTTTGTCAGGGTATTGTGTCACAATGGAAGAAGGAAGGTGGCCAGGGGAGGGCCAGACAGCTTGGGTGGAGAGATGGAGTTCTTAGGACAGTAGGTATTTCCTGACAGAGTAGATTTATTTAAACAAAAATTTAGAATTTTATTTTATGCTGGGCAGTGGTGGTGCATGCCTTAATCCCAGCACTTGAGAGGCAGAGGCAGAGGCAGAGGCAGGAGGATGCCTGAGTTTGAGGTCAGCCTGGTCTACAGAGTGAGTTCCCGGACAGCCAGCACTACACAGAGAAACCCTGCTTTGAAAATAAAACAAAACAATTTTTTAAATTTTATTATTCATTGGGAGTGTCACACATGTGTGTGCCGATCATAAGATAACTTGTAGGAATGGACCATCTCATTTGACCATAAGGGTTCCTTCCAGGAATTGAACTCAGGTTGTCTGGCTTGGAAGCAAGTACATCTACCCCTAAGCCATCTCTCTGGCTGAAAAAAAAGTATTTCAATACTTTTAGAGAACAGCTCTCTATGTAACCTGAGCTGAGTATTTCAAGCTTTGAACAGCCAACACACCCACTCTATAAGTATAGCGAGCAGCCAAATGCCATCTCCTTCACATCTCTAAGGCAGATGGCATTATGCCTGCAGGTAGACATTTAGTATTTGCTGAAAGAATGAGATATGTAGGGCTGGGGGGATAGGTTGGTTGGTAAGTGCTTTACTTTGCAAGTATGAGGACCTAAGTTAGATCACCAGAAAATCAGGCATGGTAGTGTGTGTACTTGTAATCCCAGTGTGGGAGAGATGGAGACAGGCAGATCCTTGGGGCTCCCTGGCCAGGTAGTGAGTGGCACCTGAGGGACAACATCTGAGGTTATCTTCTGGCACCCATCCACAACACACACATACACATACACACAAGCATGATGATATATAAACTGAGCCACAATTGGAATAATTAGCCATTTCCTCAGCAGGAAGAACAGACTCTTAGATCTGGACTCACTTGCTTTCCCTTCTACTAAAGGAAGACTGGGTGATAGAAAGTCATGTGATCCAAGCTGATCCAATAGACACAGCCATGAGTTCTGGTCTAATTCTTGAGCCCCTCCTGTCATCTCTCTTCCAGGCTAGCATGGGCCACTGTCTTGCCTGCCATGGCAGGGTCCTATGAGAAGAACAGCTCAGGTAGCAGAAACAGGGCAAAGGAAGAATCAGAGAGTTCCAAGTGATTCTGGATCTAGATGTACCTGGAGAGTTCAAACAACCCAATATACCCCTTTCTTTCTTAATGGCATTTTGAACTGGTTTGTTTGAATTGTTTGAACCATGTTGTTTTGTCTTTTGTTGCTGTAAATCCTGTCTAACTGAGGTGCAAGGATTAACTTCCATCAGAAAAACCATAAGCCTACCTTTTCTCTTGTAAGTGTGTGTGTGTGTGTGTGTGTGTGTGTGTGTGTGTGTGTGTCTTGGTTTGCTTCCTGACTGCTGTGATAAACACCATGACCGAAAGCAACTTGAGGAGGAAAGGGTTTATTCCATCTTCTATCCTACAGTATATTACCAAGGGGAGACGAGGAAGGAACCTGGAGGCAGGAACTGAAGCAGAGGCCATGGAAGAATGCTGCTTCCTGGCTTGCTCCTCATGACTTCCTCAGATTGCTTTTTTATATAATCCAGGACCACCTGTCTAGGGTGACCCACTCACAGTGGCTGGTCCCTCCCACATCAATCATTAATCCAGAAAATGCCCCACAGACTTGCTTATAAGCCAATCTGATGGAGGCATTTTCTCAACTGCTGGTCCTACTTCCCAGATGGCTCTAGCTTATATCAAGTTGACAAAAGAAAAAAAAAAATCAGCAGCACCCACAAGCTTGTCATTTTTCTACTAGGCTGGCTGGTCATGAAGACCCTGTGATTCTTTCTCCTTGTCTCCACCAACTCCAGTACTTGGGTCACAACTGCATGTCTTAGTTAGGGTTTTTATTGCTGTGAAGAGACACCATGACCATGGCAACTCTTACAAGGAAAACATGCAATTGGGGTGGTTGTGGCTTGCTTACAGTTCAGAGGTTCAGTCCATTATCATCATGGCGGGGAGCATGGCAGCGTGCAGGCAGACATGGTGCTGGAGCTGAGAATGCTACATCTTGCAGGCAACAGGAAGTCGAACTAACACACTGGGCAGTAACCTGAGCATAGGAAACCGCAAAGCCCACCTCCACAGTGACATACTTCCTCCAACAAGGCCACACCCACTCCAACAAAGCCACACCTCCTAATAGTGTCATTCCCTGAGATTACGGGTGTCAGTTACATTCAAACTACCACACTACGCTTGGGATTTGAACTCAGGTCCTCATGATTGTGCAGCAATCACTCTTACCCCACTGAGCCATCTCCCCAGCCCTACTTGTATGTTTCTTAATTAAAAAAAAGAATCCGTGTATGTGTGAATGTCTGTGTGTGTTTGTACATGGATGCCTGCAGAGGTGAAAAGAGGGTGTCAGAACCCCTGGATCCCAAGTTAAAGTGGTTGTAACTCTATATGGGTCCTGGCAACTGAACTCTCCAAGAGCAGCAAGTGTTCTCAACAGCTGACCCATCCTCCAGCTCTGTTTCTTAACCTTTCACACCCTGTGATGTCTGACAGGTTCACTCTGGGAACTCACCTATCTCCGAGGAGGACATCTGATAGATTTATAAACGTGGGGAAGTCCAGGTTATTCAAGACAGGGTAGGCGTGAATGGGAACAAGCAAGGTGTCATCTCCCTGAAATTGGGGAAGTGGGTTAAATTTAGTGTTTGGAAAACTATCATATTGAAAGATAAACATCTTTAATCATTAAACGAATTTCCTTAGGAAACTTCAGTGCTTTAAGTAAACCATTAGAAATACTGGTTTTCTTTCATGAATGTGCATGTATGGACATGTGTGTAGGTGTATTTTCGTGGGTGTGTGTATGCATATGGAAGCCAAAACTTTGGATATCACTGTTTAGTTGCCATCCACCTTTTAATTATGTAGACAAGGTCTCTTGATGGCCTGGAACTTAACCAAATATTCTGGGGTAGCTAGCAAGAGAGTCCCCATGGGCCCACACCTTTAATCCCAGCACTTGAGAGGTAGAGGCAGGTGGATCTCTATGAGTTCAAGACCAGCCTGGTCTACAAGAGCTACTTCCAGACCAGCCAAGGCTTGTTACACAGAGAAATCCTGTCTCAAAAAAATCTATCTATCTATCTATCTATCTATCTATCTATCTATCTATCTATCTATCTCCCTCAGGGATCCTCTTGTCTCTACCCCATCCCCAGCAATGAGATGACAAGCACATATCACCATAGCCAGAATTTTTAAAAAGTGTGTTCTAGGGGTCAGACTCAGGTCCTCATGCTTGCATGGCGAGTACTTTACTGACTGAACCATCTCTAAACCCCTAAAACTTGCATTTTTAAACCATAAACAAAGCACAAAAGATGTTGAAGTGTATCTTTTATTTTTCAATGCAGAGTTTCTCTGTGTAACAGCCTTGGCTGTCCTGGAGGTAACTCTGTAGACTAATCTGGCCTCGAGCTCACAGAGATCCACCTGCCTCTGCCTCCCCAGTGTTGGGATTAGAGGTATGGGCCACCACTGTCTGGCTAACTGGAACCACATATTTGCTACTACCTGTGAAAGCTAAAGGTACTAATCCCCCAATGTAAATACAAAGATGCTGTTCTACTTGCTTCCTCTGGGGAAATTATAAGGGGAGACATTGTCTAGGGACCAAGAGAACCTCAAAGAAGAGTGGAAAACCATTCAGCAGGAAGAGAACACAGAGACCAGTTCTAGTTAATTCTAGCTTGGTGGTGATCTTGAACAAGGCCTTTAATTTCTCCAGGCCTTTCCCTTAAAGATAACTTTAAAATTCAAAGCAGGCTATGGCCTTAAAATGTAAAAAAGTATGGTGTCAATATAGAATACCTTTATTCACCTTGTGAAATGCGCCCTGAAACTCTATACCCCAGCTTCTTGACTCTGTATGTGGTCACATAACTGAATATGGGGCTAAAAAATACTTGGTAATAATAAAATGTTTCTAAATGCACAATGACCAAAAATTAATTTGAAAATCAGATGCGTGATGAATCTGAGATGTTTCTAGTAATACTCGCCCATGGTTCATTGCTTGATGCCACTGTAGACTTGGTTCTGAACACAGGACATGTACACTTGCAGCATGCTGTGACTGCAAATGATAACAGTCAACACTGTCTGAAACACTTTGGCTCAGATTCAAGACTATTGCGTGCTACTAACTGTAGAATTTTTTTTAATTGTGCATACGAAATAATTCTGTCCTTTTTTTCCTTTGAATTGGAAACAAGATTGTTTTATATGACAATCCCAGTTCCCTTCTCCTCCCGTCCTCCCCTACCACCTCCCCCAACTAAAACCCTACCTATCACATATCCTTTCTGCTCCCCCTGGATGGTGAGGCCTTCCATGGGGGGGGTCATCAGAGTCTATTGTATCCTTTGGGATAGGGCCTAAGCCCACCCATAATTCTGTTCTTATAGGAACATAATGTTTTAATTATGGAATTGCAGGCTTCATTTTTATTCTGTTTCCCCTTGGCAGCAATGTTGTCTTCTTATTTTCTCCTTGGCATGTATCAAATTAGTGTATCTTTGGGTTGTATTATGTTAGAATATTCAGTTTTTATGTATTTGCTTGCTTGTTTTTTAGTTTTATTGTATATATATATGCATATATATGTATAGTGTTTACACATATGTATGTTGGCATGCATGCCTGTGAATGCATGAGGCAGCCAGAGGAAGATGTGGTGCCCTGCTCCATGCTTTCTGCCTTACTCCCTCGAGACAAGGTCTCTCAATGAACCTAGGACAAGGTAGTCTGGGCAATCCTCCTGTTTCTGTCACAGTGCAGTTCTGGGGACACAGGTGTGCATTCACACCTACATTTTTACACAGATTCTGGGAATTTGAACTCAGGACTTCAGGCTTGCAAAAAGTTCCGTGCTTTCCCCACGGAACTGTCTTCCTAGCCTTAGCTTTATTTCTTATCCAGGGTTTGGATATGTCCCAGGATGGCCTTGAACTTGAGACCCTTCTGCCACAGCCTCTTCAGTGCTGAAACTACTCCAGGCAGAGGCATTATAAAAAGGAAAATCAAAGGGAAAATATCTTTAAGCCTGACCTTACTATACAAACTGTAAGTAATAATAACATTATTTGAAAGAAAAAAAAAAGAAACCCATTTGCTGCTAAATTGTAGCCTTCCACTGAGTGCAGCTAACTTTGCAGCTTCTGAACTTCCAAGACTAGGCCTGTGACAAACAAAAAGGCAAGAGGAGGTGAGTGCAGGAGCTGCTGACTCAGGCTGGAGGCTGAAGGGTGAATGAAGAGACCTTGAAGAGACCCCTGAGACCTCAACCAGTGTGGGCATCTCAGGTCACTTCTCCAAGGCCTCACTGTCTGTGGACATTGCTGCTGGAGTCTCAGACCAGTCAGCAGTGTTTATAACTACAGAATGGGGCATCATTTATTTTCTATCCCTGCACTTAAAGGAGCACATAAGAGTTAGTTGACAAAGCTTTCACGGGGCCCCCGGCACCACAGGATAAATGGAGGTTTGGCACAGGCAGTGGAGGATTGCAGTGCAGCATCCAGGAAGTCTTCCCAGGTTCTCCGTGGTGACATCCTATTTGAGGTGCAGGTGCAGCCCTGAGCCTACTCCCTCACCCACTACTCCGAGAGTGCTGAGGGGTTGTCCTGGCTCTATTTTCTCCCCATTGGGCTATGATACGTGAAGTGTTAGGCACCGGCAGAGAACAGTAGGATGTTTTGGGAACCTGCTCAGGATCGCCATGTCCAAATCTCTTTCCAGCTGGAAGAAAGGTATAGCTGTGGGCCATCTAGCTCCTACAACAATGAGAAACTGAGAGGCCCCTCTAGCTCTCCTTTATCTTCCTTTGGGATATGAGGTGTGTCCCGCACCCCCCCCCTCACCCTACTACCCAGATGGCTACTTCCAGAAACTCACCTTACAGTGAATGCGGATGCAGTCATAATAGTAACGCCACTCATCTGGAGAAAACGTAACAGTGACCATGAGAGACAAGCCTGGGATGAGGCGATGCTCCTGGAAGGCAGGTAGGCTGTGTTGGGACAGGCCCCAGCCCTGGCAGACTGGCACTGGGGGTGGGGTGGGATGGAGGGTGCACACACTCTTGTCCTGGAGGGCCTGAGACAGAAACCACAACCCACCCTACATCTCCCTCAGCAGGGAATGTGACCCAGGGACAGTACCTTCTTCTCATAGGCGATCCTGAAGTATTTGGTCTGCGGTGGTAAAATATGAAGGTGTGTGTCTTCATCTGAAATATTGGCAATGTACTGGCGGAGAGAAGGATGAGTTAGGATTTGACTTATTACATATTCCTCTCTTCATTGCTTGCACCTCATCTTTATTACAAAGAGGATTTGAGGACACCTGTTACTTTAAACTTTTTAAAAGGTGTGAAATATGGGATGGGAGATGGCTTAGCCAGTGAATTGCTTGCTGGGCAAGCATGAGGAACTGAGTTCAGATCCCCATCCACCCATGTAAAAATCTGGGTGTGGCCACAGCAGTTTGTATCTGTGAACGCCAGTTCTGGGGAAGAGATGGAGAACCCCTAGGGCTCCTTGACTAGAAAGTCTGGAAGAACCGATTAGCTCCAGGTTCAGTGAGAGACTCTGTCTCAAAAAATATGGTAGAAAATGATTGAGGAAGACGACAGGCCCTCTTCTGACTTCCTCATGTATACACATGCATGCACTTACATACATATATGCACACACACACACAACACACAC